TATCCGGGAACCTCTCTTGTGTCTTCTCCTCTGCAGTAATCATCTTTTCTACTGTGCGTCTGAATTCTTTATTGTTTCTCGGATTTTCTTTGCAGAAGTCCTGAAATTGCCACCCAGCCATGATTCCGTGAGAGAAAGCTTCGATTACTTCTCGTTCGGTGATATCATGTACTTGAGCACGTAGTTCGCTAAATCGTCGATAGTAATCTCTGAGACTTTCGCCCCCTTTCTGCTTGAGTCCTTTTAATTCTGCGTGGGTGATGGGGTGCGTAATGATACCCACAAAATTTTTACAGAAAACTCTTTGCAAGTCCTCCCAATTTTTGATTAACCCTGGATTTAATTTGTCAAACCATTGGAGGGGCATGGTTTCTAGGGCCATGGGAAAGAACAAGGTCTTGATGTCATCGTCTCCTCCGGCTAGTTCAATCAACTACGAGTAAATCCTAAGCCACTGCCTTGGTTCGGTCTTGCCATCATATTTAGAGTGGTTGGATGGCTTGAACTTGTGAGGTAGTCGTATTGAAGCAAGTTTGTTTGCAAAACAGGGGAATCTATCGTGCGTTCTAGCTTCTTTGTATTCTGATTCGGCACCTCCTTCCTCCCAACTGTCGTTTTGGTGAGAGTAGTTCTGTAGGGATGTCTGAATGGGTGCTTCGCTTCTGATCTTCCTTGGTTGTTCGATTTGGTAGTTTTGACTATGGTCCCTTCTACTTTCTTTATTGTGACTCCCACTTGGTCCAAATCTCTCGAAAGCGGACATCCTTTGATTTTGATCTTCCTTCCTATGAGATGTTGACCTGGCAGGTAGTCTTGAGCGGGTCCTTCCGTCGTGCGTCCTTAGGGCTGCTGACCAGAGAAGGTCCCAGAGCTGTTCCTGTTTTTCACTGGGAAGTGATGTCGCTCCGAGTTCTTCTAGTGCTTCTCGAATCCTATTGTAGGGTGTATTTGTCGTGCGTCTTTCTTCGACTTCTTGTTCTGATTTTCTTCTGTCGTACTCAGCCAGATCTGACTTATATTTGATCCAAGCTTCCTTGCATTCCCTAGCACGGCGTTGATGTCCTTGTTTCAATTTGTCCTTTCTCTCTCTGGCTTGCCTCTGACTCTCGGTCTCACCATTGTGCCCCTGGGTAAAGGGTGATATGTTGGACTCAGATTCATCCGATGACCTGACCAGTGGACGATGCAGTCTTGAGATGTTATAGTTAACACGAGACCTTCCTGGGCTCCTTTTAGTGGCATTCTAAGCACCGGATCGAGGAATCCTTCGGCCGTGTTTGATAAGACGTTGCCATGTTGTGGAGTCCAAACGAAAAAGGACCCAACTTCTTGAAAAGACTTTGAGTGTACTCCGAGTTGTATTCTTGATAGGCCAAGACCGCGTTCTTAAGCCCCATCCGAAAAGAACTCGGTTTCTCGGAAGAACTCGGGTAAGACTCCATTTCGGATGCGAAACCTGAGTTTGAGTCGGATGCGCAAAGTCGCGAAATCTGAGTTGGAACGGACATCGCGAGCTGCGCGAATCTTCCAGCAAGTTGATATGTCGTAGTCGCCGAAATAGAATGGTCTTCATGGTGATCCGAATTTTCGAGGAGACGGCTTTGGAGCTTGCCAATGTCACCTGCCTCGCAGATCCACGAACCGAAGATGAAAGTTGATCCCATCAAGAAGATCATGTTGTCGAGGTCCGTCGAGCTCTCGGATGCAAAGTCACCGAAAGCCCCTACCTGGCGCGCCAACTGTCGATGTTTGACCACCGATAGCCTGCAACGGGGGTTCCCGGGGCAGTATGTTTAGGCTTTAGCGTATGCAGAAATCGACGGTTAACGTAAGAGACAGTCGATTTATCCTGGTTTGGGCCCTCGACCGTGATCGAGTAATAGCCCTACGTCCAGTCGGCGTTAGCCTTTGCGTTGGATTGATTGTAAAGTGTTGTGTTATCTGTTAGTCTCTGTTACGCTGAAGCCCGAACATACTGCCCCGGGAACCCCCGTGGCAGGCTATCGGTGGTCAAATATCGACACTCACACCTGCGATCGATCCCACGACATCTTCCGCATGCTGCGTCCTTTGGTGCGATTCTCCTTGATTGAATATTGTCTATCATGTGATAGAGGAATCATGACAAAATAGGAAATAGAAAATTATTGTGCTATTCATATACACATTGCATGTTTGCATGCACCAGCATACATGGCAACGAGCAAAAGAAAAGAGAATTAACACAGAAGAAAAGATAATTAAGACAAAAGGAACCACTTTGCATTTCTGGGAACCTTGTCAAATCTGTCTACATTTAATTACTTTCCCTCTTTGCATTTGCAAAAGGGACAACTTTTTTCTTCTTTCATTTGGTTTCACGCTCACGTGTTCCATCGCCCTCACTTGTTGTTTCTTGCTGAAATTGCCCTTGGGTCTGTTCATTTTGAATCATTTCCCCATATTCTAATTAAACTACAAAATTTTGAATTAGGATATGAGGTAAGACATGCAAACAGATATTTCAAAACTACCTGTAGAGTCCAAAGAACTTAATAAATAAATCCTTCTAGAGGCAATACAAATTCTCTCTAATATTTCATTTGGTGTAGTTAGTGTTATTATAGTACCCGTATGTATTCATGGGAAATAAATCGTGGACAAAACGTGGATACTTTTTGGTACGACATTCCAACATGAGTCCATCGTCCTACCAATATCCTTGAGACAGATCACATAACAGATGAGAGTCCCTCTATGAGATTGCTTATAAGATACTCGAACTTATATCTGATCATGGTAATGTTGAATTACTTTGCATTAAAAGCATCGGCAATGATAAACGGGGACATATGCTTTAGTGTGTATAGTGGAGGAAAACTCAACCTTGGCCTTCTCAGCAGCTTTTCTGAGCCTTTGCAGTGCTAACTTGTTCTTACTCAGATAGTCAAGAGGTGCACCATAAAATTATGCACCACTAAGAAAAGTGTCACCATTGGTTGCCTTGACCTGAAAAATGTGTCGAAATTAAGAATTACAACACCTAATTCAACATCTTGGAACAGACACTCGAGTGGATACCTTATTCTGTAATATATGTCTATGTGAAATAGTCCTAAAGCCACACATATTTATACGGTGAGTATAACATACTTTGTTTTAAAAATTTATGACAGATTTTTTAAGACACGCAGTATTATCCATGTGACAGGCACTAATATTTACATATATACTCGAACCTGTATGTATAGAATTATATAGAAATGCAGCGAAACTTATTCATGGATTTATTGGCGCATGAAAGAAATGGATATTGGAGAATTCTTTCTGCCGATATAAAATATTATCTTAGCCATATCATGAAAAAGTCTATACAGTAGAGTTTATGAGCCTGCGACGCTGCACTCTCCGTGACTGTGTTAATTTCATGAACTTTGCTTTTGAATTAAATGTCACTTTAACGTCGGTATTTAATTTAACAGTATTGTTATCTTATTGTGCGATCCGTGTGTTTTTAGTACAAAAGATTTAGTTGTCCCATAGCAACACATGGGCACGCTACCTTTCATTTCCAAAATATGGATATATCTAGCCTTTTTTTTGATGAAGGATATATCGAGCTAATAATTATTATTATTGGAACGAGGCCCATGTATCTACAGAAACACCCGTCTCGTGAGTCGTGATCGGCCGTCAACGTTAACCCAACCCCGTGCAGTAGTGCCAGCCCAAATGGCATCCGTACAAACCTACTGTTCAAAGGAGATAGCTAGTTTTATTAACATACCATAGTTTACTTTTGATGTAATATCATCTTCGGAAAATTAATTATTTCACTGGGTAGCTGAATGAATAGGCACCCGCGACACCGGCAGGCACCCGGCGAGCCCCACGTTGACGACGGCGAGCCACCGCGCGCCCAGCGTGTACAGGCCCCTGATGGCGGCAGAGTAGTTGGAGACGAGGCTGCCGTAGAAGGCGGCCGTGTCGCTCTTCAGGTCGGCGGCGCCTGCTCTGCCTTCACGAACACGAACACGTTGTTGGGGTTTAGTCCCACATCGTGTAACGATGGTGGGGGAGCACAACATATAAGGCGGGAGAAGCCCCCACCTATCAGGCTAGTCTTTTAGGTTGAGTAAGGCCCAAAGGCCTTATATGTTGCAGGTCCGGTGGACCTAGGACCTGTGGGAGCGCAGGCTCGTGGTAACGAGCCGAGCCGGCTGTAAACTCGGTGGTCACCACCGGTTCTAATAATTGGTATCGTGAGCCCATGATAAAAAAAAGCTAAACCCGATAAAAAATCTCGAGCGTCACATATGGCGGGGGCACCCCGATGTGTGACTAAGGGGGAGATTGTTGGCGGGGCCACCCCGATGTGTGACTAAGCGAGAGATTGTTGGGGTTTAGTCCCACATCGTGTAGCGATGGTGGGGGGAGATTGTTCACATATGGCGGGGGCACCCCGATGTGTGACTAAGGGGGAGATTGTTGGGGTTTCCACATCGTGTAGTGATGGTGGGGGTGCACAACGTATAAGGCGAGAGAACACTCACCTATCACGATGGTGGGGGAGCACAACATATAAGGCAGGAGAACCCTCACCTATCAGGCTAGTCTTTTGGGTTGAGTAAGGCCCAAAGACCTTATATGTTGTAGCTCCGGTGAATCTGGGACCTGTGGAAGCGTAGGCTCGTGGTAACGAGCCGGGTCGACTGTAAGCTAGCTCCAAGATCATAAACTCGATGGTCACCGTCGGTTCCAACAAACGTTGTTGCCGTCGAAGTGGAGGAGGAAGAAGGAGCTGTTCATCAGGGTGTCCACCGCGTCGGAGGATCCCGCCGCCGCGGCGATCTTGGACCTCGTGGCGTTTGAAGCACTGCACCTGCTTCGACAGCGGGATGGTGCTGCCGGCGTTCTGCTTCGTCATGCGTTCATACGTGCTTTTCAGCTTGTTTGTTGATTAACGTTTCCTATGAATGCTATAGTACGCGAGGCTTGGAGCACACTTGTCCACTTTTTACCGTGGAGTCGAGGATGCCAGCTGCTCCGGAAGCATAGCTGACGCCGATGGTGAAAGCAGTGGGGACCAGAAGGCCGCCCGAGCTTGCTGGCGCCACCAGCGACAGGTACGGCGGAGGGCTGCTCACCAACCCTATGCACTTTGCTGCAATCCAACGTACTTATGTACTATATACTATACTCTATGGAAGAGAATATGCATAGGGCTACGGCGACCTACCAATGAAATCGGCGGTGTTGTAGCCGTTGCTAAACCTTCCGGTGGGAACGCCGCCGGGGAAGTCGTCGCCGTAGTAGGGCCTGTTGGCTCTGCGGACGTGCGCCACCGGCAGGTAGTTGTTGTTTCCGACGTCCAGCGTCGAGTCGCCGAACACGTACATCGCCGGCGGCGGCGCCGAGGACGTCCATGGATAGTACCATCACGAGGCACAGCACAAGACTCTCCATCATGGCCAGCTTGTTGTAGCCCATGGAGATCATATACATCTCTGGCTGATGCAGGTCCTTGATAGAAATGGAGTTGTAAGGGTAGCCTACGTACTTATATATTACTCCTCCTAAATATACAACACTCGACTTGTACTTACTGATTAAAGTTACGGTGAGTATTTTGCATTGGTGTACTCTCTAGATATAATTGGTGTAGGGAAGGAATATTTCACCCGATTCTCGCAACAGCTTTAATCTAGGTATGGAACTACTCTAAACAACAGCATTTTTATAAACTAAGGTGCGTACGTGGTAATTTTTGGACCTTAATTTTTAAGGTGTAAGCTTCCACCACGGGAGAGCTAAAATTCCCCGAGTGTCGCTGGCTTCCCCGAGTGTTAAAAATCGGGCACTCGAGAAAGAGAATCTTTCCCGAGTGTTGCACTCGGAGAAGAATTGCACTCGGGGAAGAGAGGCTTTCCCGAGTGCCACAGAGATCCTGACACTCGGTAAAGAGCAGCACTCGACAAAGGCCCTCTTCCCCGAGTGGAACACTCGGGGAAGATCGGCACTCGGCAAAGAAACATGTTACTTGATGGTCCACCCCACCCACGCCGTTAAAACTTTTAAAAAAAAATTCTTCCCCGAGTGCTTTTTCTGGCACTCGGGAAAGAGGCTGCCTTCCCCGAGTGCCCTGTCCTGGCACTCGGGAAAGGGCCTCTTCCCCGAGTGCCAGGGAAGGCACTCATGGAAGAAATTTTGTTTTTTTGTTTTTCCTGCCTAATTTTTTTTGTGAGGCCTTCCCACATTATTTTAAACTCCCTGTTCAAATTTTGGACAATTTTGACTTTTTTGTTATATTTCGTTAGTTTTTTTCGTTTCATTGAAAATTTTTGCATACTTCGAATTTGAACTGCAGGCGCATGAAATAATGGAATTTGGTGATTCAAAAAATTATATTAATGATATTTGGTGTATGTTGAGGCCTTATCCAGGAACTCGCATGAAATGTCAAGTGATCACATGCGAGATGTTCAGGTTTTAGGTATCCACATCGCAACTTGCGGGAAAAGTGTTTCAATTTTTTATCATAATCGAACAAAGTCAGAAAACACGAAACTGCATAAGTTTCGTGATTTTCTGACATGTACGGATTTTATATAATTCAAATACAGGTTTGAGCAAGTTGTTCGTCATGTTACGTCAACAAGATGCGGAGACATTTCATGCAGTTCCCCTGATAAGGCCTCAACATACACCAAATATCATTAATATAATTTTTGAATCACCAAATTCCATTATTTAATGCACCTGCAGTTCAAATTCGAAGTATGCAAAAAAATTCAACGAAACGAAAAAAACTAACGAAATATAACAAAAAAGTCAAAATTGTCCAAAATTTGAACAGGGAGTTTTTAATAATGTGGGAAGGCCTCACAAAAAAATTAGGCAGAAAAAACAAAAAAAACAAACTTTCTTCCCCGAGTGCCTTTCCTGGCACTCGGAGAAGAGGCCCTTTCCTTAGTGCCAGGACAGGGCACTCGGGGAAGACTTAAAAAAAAAGGCCCAGCAGGCCTTATCTAAACCTAACCGGCCACCCACCCGGCCACCCCACACCCGCACGCCGCCCGCCAGCCCGCCCGCCCGTACACGCTACCCCGCCGCCGCCAACCCCTCCGCCGCTGTCGTTTTAAAATTTTAATTTTTTTCCATTTTTAAAGGTTCAATTTTGCAATTTTAAATTGGTGTAGTTGTTTTAGTTATTGTATATGTAAATATATTTATAAAAAATAATTATAAAATTTTGTACTATATTATTTATTATTTAAATGATGCAAATACAAAGATCCAATGGAATTTTTTTCGTTTTGCACAAGATAGAAATCGGGTAAAAAGAAAGCGCCTAAATTCTCCTTCCGCTCCCGCTACTGGATTTTGGCCCAGCTAAAAGAAAAGCCCAAGTTGGCCTCCATCACACACACGCTCCTCCGTACATGCCTCGCCGGGCTTATCCACGTTCCTCCGCGTCTCGCTCCCAAATCGAGCGACTCCGTAAAAAAAATCGAGCGACTTCCTATGCGGCGGCGGTCGGCGGCTCCTGCGCGGGCGGCGAGCTGGCGACGTGTCCTGCGCGGGTGAGCGGCGACTCCTGCGTGGCCGGGCGGCGTCTCCTGCGGCGGCTGCGGCTCCTGCGGGCGAGCGGCGGTTCCTGCGGAGGCGACGGGCGGCTTCTCCTGCGGCGGCTCCTATGCGGGTGACCAGCTTCCTGTGCGGGCGGTGGGTGACGGTTCCAGCGCAGCTGCGCTCGTGCTCGGCGCCGACCTGGACCACACTGCCACTGTCGACGAGGTGAGCCCCAGCGCCGACCTGCCCCGCATACGGCCATCCCCTTCCTTTTGCGAGGGCTGCTGGGGCTCCACATCTACACAGCCGCAGATCCACCGGGTACCCAGGCTACCGGCAGCCTGCACAGACCACCCTCCGGCTTGATGGCACCCTGGAGTTCGTTCTTTTAGTTGCTATAGGTTCTTTTTTATCTGATTCGATAGTAGGATCTGAAACCTACAGATTCCGAGGTCAGTTCTAAGATGGGGACATGGTATTGTTTTGATTTCAGTTTTGGTTCAAAACTAGTGGCATTGCTGGATTCATTTTCAGATAAGCTACAAATTTAGTGTATTTTTTTGTGAGTGCATATCTTTGTGTAGTGATCTGAAAATGGTTCTTTTTTGTGGTAGCAACAGGTCTATATATTTACGGTTAGTAGTTGTGAACTAAAATATTTATGTGATATAAAACACATGTGTTCTCCGAATTGTTGGGTCTCACAGCACTTTAGATCATTGCTGAGTTAATGAACCGGACATTTTGTGATTTCTGCAGATAACATCCATATATAGCTAAATAGATTGTTGTACCTTTTTTCGGGTTTGATCTGAGTAGCTTGTGCCTTTTGCTTGGCTGGTAAGCTCCCTTCATTGCCCATGTGAATGGTGAATGTCATTCATTTATAGCTTCCTCCTATGTAAGAATCTGATGGTCTCTAGCAACTTTTTAGGTATGAATTGAGGATCTGTGGAGGCAACGATCTGTGTACCGTGTAACAGTACTAGCATCGACAGATTTCAAGCAACAAAGCAGTAAGTATTATCAATTGTGCATTTGATTGAGATGACATTTGTGTGTTAGACATTAAGTCGAATGTATCTGTTTGTAAGATGCATGCTTCGTTATATATTTTTCTGACATTAACTACAACGCCTCTATTGGTTGATTGCTGTGCCAATTTGTTGTGAAACTAAAATATATGTGTTGTTTCTTGTCCTTGTTATGTGCAGAAAGTGTGATATATAGAACAGTACTTGACTTGTGTATGACAAATGCTTGTGTCTTGATTATTTTAGTTAGGAACCGTTGGAATCTGCAGCTTATAAATCTTGTGCAGCTTATAATTCTGCAGCTAGCTTATTTTAGTTGTGACAAATGCTTGTGTCTTGATTATTTTAGTTAGGAATCGTTGATATCTGTAGCTTATAATTCTTGTGCAGCTTATAATTCTGCAGCTTACAATTCTGCAGCTTATAATCTGTAGCTTATTTCAGTTATGACAAATGGTTGTCTTTATTATTTTAGTTAGGAACGGTCAAATCTACAGCTTATAATTATTGTGCAGCAATTTTTCACCAACGTAGCAATTTATGCAACTACAACTGCATATTCCTGTGAAAATTCTGTCTCTGAAAACTGAATGGAGACTGAATGATGGAAAGTGTCACTTTTTAAGGCTTTTTTTTATGTTCATGCTGCTGGACAAGGACCGAGATCATATCATGCTGATGCATGATATTGTTTTTTTCTTTTAGATTGGCTAAGATCATGTTATCTATCTACTGAATGTCAATGTGACCATGCTCCTGTAGTCCTGTTATCTACCTACTGAATGTGAATGTGACCATGCTATCTGCTTATAATCTGACCGACGCATAATTTGTGGTTTTAATCTTACAGGAATCTAAATTTGGCAGAGGGCAGAGTGGGATAAACACATTAACTCCAAGAAGTGCTCCAATCCCTAGCTAGAAAGCACAAAACAGATTGGTATGCTCTGCACAACATGATTTCATTTGTTCTGTAAACTGAATTGAGGCATCCTTTGATATATTTTCCTGTTTCTATGTTATGATGAGTACATGGCATTAGCTCCAGATTAGTGTGAATTGGTGTACTTCCTAGAAATGCTTAAATATATGTCAGAGTTGAGAAAATGTTGTTGTTACTTGATTTGAATATATATATATATATACATGTGGTTAGATTTGAATTTGAATTTTTTTTTGCTGGAAAATTCACTGTAGGGGCGGTTCTTGATTGAACTGCATTTACAAATATACACAGGGGGCGGCTGGTGATACAGCCGCCCTTACAGAAGTCCACTACAGGGGCGGCTGATATTACCAGCCACCCCTACAGATGGCACTGTAGGGGCGGCTGAAAACACCAGCCACCCCTACAGAGGGCATTGTAGGGGCGTTCAGGAAACCGCCCCTACAGAGGCACCCTCTGTAGGAACACCCTGGGAAGGGCGGCTGGCGCAGCCGCCCCTACAGAGGCTCTAGAGCCGCCCCTACAGTTAAATTTTGTAGTAGTGATAGTGTGTACTTTTGAACGTATGGTTTGTAATATATTGTGGATTTCGGACAAATTTGGTCGTTTGTGATATATAAATGTGGTTTGTGACATATTGGTGTTGATTTGTGGTTTGTGATATATATATATATATATATATATATATATATATATATATATATATATATTATTTATATGGAAAAGCAAAAGCAAAAAAAAAAAAAAATTAGAGGTGGCTTCCCCGAGTGCCTGTGCTGTGGCACTCGGGAAAGAGGGATTTTTTTTTAAAAAACAAATTTCTTTGCCGAGTGCCTGAGCTGCGGCA